TATTCTCACAAAGAATAGCAATAAACATCTACCACTTGAAATAATGTCATTTTTATAAAGTAAAATTGACCCAGTACATCGATTTGCATTTCCCACTACATCCATATGCGTATGTTTCTTTCAGTTTAAGATTTATGTATTTCGTATTTTGCTTTTTCACTTAATATATACAATATTTCTATATCTATATTTTAAAACTGTGATACAATTTTATTTTGTAGATGAATTATTTAACATTTCCTTGTTATGAAATACTTAGGTTATATCCTTTTTTCTGCTACAAATGTTACAGCAACTTCTTGATGCATATAGTACTTGTTTTTTGTTAAACTGTTTTTCTAGAATAAATTCCTAGGAGTGAGATTAGTGTGTCATTGGGAATCAAGTGGTAAATTATGCCTGAATAATCACAGTCAAGTTTTCCTTTTCAAGCCATGTTATAAAGGGTACAAAATAGGAAAGGAGAATAGGGGAAATGTATATGGATGCAATTTTATGTCTTAAGAGTTCTGCAAATGGACAATCCTTTTATAAGAATATTTCATATTTCTGAGAGGAAGCCATTTCTATTTTTAATACCGATAGTAAAATAACGAGCATGGAAATGGTTTTGAAAAATTAAGCTGAACATGAAAGAGTTTAATAATCTATAACTTTCTGCTGCTGTCCATTTCTTACCTGTATGTTACCAGGCTTTTCTGATCATCACAAGTGGCCTCATAACTGCTCCGGACTGACATGATTGCTTCTAAAATCTGTTTCCCAAGGTTACATTATTGGAGGAAGCTGCAGTGTGCATCTGTTCATAAGCTAATCATGCACTTCTCCCTCAAGGTGTCGGAGACAAGAAATAGGTTTGAAAGAATTTGCTTCTATAGTAACGTTGGTGCAAGTGATAAACCAGTACCCAACTGATTTAAAAATCTTACTCACAGAGCAAAAGCAAACACACAACCAGGCAGGACTATTTGCTTTAAAAGCAAAAGAGACAAGAGCAGTATTTGAGAGGGGTAAATATAAGGTGAGGGGCCCAGGAGGCAGGAATTGTGATTTGCTCTGCTTTTTGACCTGGACTATCATTTAAAGTGATTTGAAATCCAAAATCAAGATAAAACGAAATAAATATATGTAGAGGTATAGAGATTCCAAACTAAGTTTTTCTCTAGTTGCTTTGGTTAACGTCAGCTTTATCCCATTAGAATTAAGCCACCATCAGGAGATATGTTGCTGTTTACAGCATCCCAGGCAAGCTCATAGGCAGAGAGCTTAGGCCTTGCTGGCAGTATGGTGCTGTAAGAAACTCAACTTTCATGGGAACTGTAAGTTCAAGTTGACAATGCAACAGTATTTCAATAGAGAGCGATAATGAGAGATTAAAAATCTTCAGTGCTCTAGCTTGAAAAAAATCTTCTTCTTTCCTAATCAAGCTATAGTTGGGAGTTCTATCAGCATTTACTACATTGTTTTCAGAGGCAACACTGGTAGTTCATCAAGATGTTAACAGCTGATCTCTAAAAGTGAGATGAAATAAACTTGGGAAAGTTTCTTGCAATGTGCTTCTCCCTCACAGATCCTTGGTGCCCATTAGATAGTGAAATCTCTGAGAAACTTGTGGTAAAAAAATCTTTTTGACTTTAACTTATAACTTCCTAAACATATAACTAAGGAAGTCAAATTTACGCAACCCCAATGAACATTTCAAGGAATGCTCATGTTCTAAAGGACAATTTACATCAAACTTAGTTAAATATGTCTCTATGTAAACAAAGGGGTGTAGAAAGTTGGTTGGAGATCCTTTCAGACTAAGTTTGGATGTGTATTGTAGCCTTGTTGCTTGTCTTACTCATGCAAAACTTTACTACATCTGTTGAGTCATCTGGGATGAGATATATATAATTTTCTTCAGAGATTCGATTCTCTGGGCAGGGAAATGAAGGAGAAGGAACAGGTTGTCCAGGTTTTATATTAATTTATCCTTCTAGTTAAATCCTATGGTTTTAGAATAGAAAGGACAGTGGGGAAGTGAGCTGGCTGTAAATATAGTTTAGCAGAGCAGGCTTTTCTCTACTAAATCATGACTTCTGAATAAAAGGACAAGACAAAAAACCAAGACAAAATACATCTCACAAATACTGAGAAGGGGGTGATTAGGAGAAGGAATGTTTAATTAAGGGGGCTCAAAGTTGAATTGGCCAGTGGAAGCAGGAGACTGGGATGGAAAGATAAAATTGGATCTTAAGAAGGATGATGCATGGCAGAAAAGGAAGCAGTTAAGTGGAGGTAGTGAATTATTTTCAAGTGAACTTTCAGCGAAATGATTTGGAGATAATATGTACTACTTCAGATGCCTAACACTAATGTTCAGATTAGAGTAAAAAAGAACATTTTAAGTTTTCTAACTATGAATTGTTATTCAATTAAATGAATAAATATTGATTACCTGTCATGTGTAGCATAATAAAAAGGAATTTCAGAATATAAAGAAAAATTCTTCTTTCAAGGAGAGAATACTATAAATATTGTAGTAAAATAAACACATACAAATTACTTATATAGGGCAATACTATCATTTTGAGCAGAAGAATAATGTGATCAGAACTGAGTTTTGGAATATCAATCTACCAGTAATAACTAGAATGGGTTGGAATACAAATAGTGGAAGTAAGGAGACTAGGGAATAGATAAAAGTCTTAATTTTCAAAATACGAATTAAATCATGGGGTAGGCAAACTTTTTATGTAAGGGTTCAGAAGGTGAATATTTTCGCCTTTGGATGCTATGTGGTCTCTGTAGTGTGTAAGTAGTCATAGGCAATATGTAAATGGTTGAGGCTATTGTTTTCCCATAAAACTTAATTTAAAAAAATGGATGACAGGCCTGACTTGTTCCACAGGATATAGTTTTCCAACCCTCAAATTAATTAAGGAAGCTTAAAGTCAACTACTGATGAAAATATAAAAAATTATTACTGTATCATAAGGGTATAACACTGGCTTTTAGAAACATTAACAAACAAATCATTGTTTACTAATCCCGTTTATGATAGGGTTATTTGGATTTTCATATCCAACAATGGCAAACTAACTTATAACTGTTGATACTTCCATTAAAAAAAAAAACAAAAAACCTAGAAAACCTGGGGAGGGGAGGAGGGAGAAAGAGAGAGAGTGTGTGTATGTGTGTGTGCGCGCTTGCACGCTCACACTCCTGTACATCAGAGCTATCAAGGCAGTAAGGACTTGTGGGGTTTAAAATATAGGGAAAATCAAAATACGTGGCGACAATAATAAAAGGCAGAAGGAATTACTATGTTCAGAGATCCTCGCACTGTTCAGCAATTAGTAAAACCACAAATTAATATTAGATATTAATAAAACAGTGGTGCATTTATAATTTCTATGATTACCATTACAAGAATGGTAAAAGAATTTATCATGTAGTTGAGATGGCTCATAGAGGGGAAAATGGAATAATAAAATACCACTTAATCCAGAATAAACAAGAAGGTGAGAAAAAAGAAATATAGACCAGGTATGAACTCCCCCCACCAAAAGACAGCCCCACGACAGTAAATGGTAGATTTAAACCCAGACATATCTGTAATCATATGAAATGTAAGTAGATTAAATATACTAGAAGGTAAAGGTTTACTGAATTAAAAAACAAAATTCAACTATGTGGTTTATAAGAGATACACTTTGAATATGAGGTTACAGAAAAAATAAAAGGATATATCAAGTATAGAAACAGAAAATAGATTGGTGGTTGCCAGGGCTGGGTGGGGGAAATGGATGAAGGTGGTCAAATGGTACAAACTTCCGGTTATAAGATGAGTAAGATCTGGGGATGCGATGCACAGCATGGTGAGTATAGTTTCTTAAAGTCAAAAAAAATGAGAAGTCGCCCTCTTTAGTGACTCTCTCAAACTGTAAAAAGCAGACTCATTCAAGAATCATAATCCAAGTAGTTAGACCCACATGAAGTGACAATATCAAATGGATTTGGGCTTTTGAGTAAATCTGTAGAAATCTAGCCGGCCTTTTGAGTAAATATAGCCTGGAATGTAGGTAGCCTCAAGCTGTTTCCCCTCCTCTGGTAATATTTTCCTTTAATTATTCCATAAAAGGTGGGAGGCCGGAATTTACTGATTATTTTTCCGTGAAGGCCACACTTGGCACCTTGTTACTTCCAGCTCAGCAGTACAGAGTATCACTGCTGAGGCTGGCCACGGGAGCAAGAGTGGCAGCTGGGCAGATATTTGTCATCCCCGTTTCAAGCCTATGCCATAATGAAGCCATGTTTATGCTTAACTGTTGTTAATTTCCATATTGTAGTGAATCCACGGGAAAACGAATGTGTGCAACTTTTGAGAAAGGAGAGAAGAAAAGCAGAGATGACTGCAGGCGGCCACTACATTAAAAGGTTATGGGCCAAAGCACCAATACCACAGGACATTTGAGGTGACCTTGCTGCAGGTGCCCAGACATTACCATCCCATCTATGGAGAATAAGTTGACCCCAAAGTTGCCCTCAAACTGTAAAAAGCAGACTCATTCAAGAATCATGACCCGAAAGTTGCTAGAGTAGACATCATGTGACATGCAGGTTTCAGATAGTCTGTAAGCTTTGCAAAACACATAAGAAGAGTTGCGGGCAAGGGGCGAGAATGCCTGTGTATGTCATGAGGGGTGGGGACTTGGGTGAGGAGGTAAGTGTGAATTTTTATTTTCAGTGTGATAATTTTTTTGTCACACTTGGACTTAGAATGGATCTTCTTCTCTGTGGCTATGATGGAAATATTTTTCATTTGACACCACTTTTCAGTAAAATCTGAGCCTCCTGTTCTTTGTCTGGAGACATAGAGCCAATAGGCTGAGCTACCATGGGGAGTGACTGCCTAACATTCTGGGAGGAATTTTGTACTGTATATATGTCTTATCTATACATATCATTTTATGTATTGGGTAGGTAGGGTCATTTAATTTCTTAACAACTTAATTTTCCTTCTACTGTAGAAAGCACCAGAAAAGAATTATATTTACATGTGCAGAGGCTACTTAAGAAGCTGTTAGGTACACAGTAACTATTTTAAGTTCTCGAGGCATCTGCTTTGGGAAAATTCAGAGAATAAGGTACTCAAAGTTTCTCTAGTTAGACTAGAGAAACTGTTGTTTAATATTCTTCTCGTGGTGATTGTTGGCTATTAGAAAAAAAATGAAAAAAACGCTGCAGTGTTTACCTCTGATATCTGAATGTAGGCTTAAGGTCCCATAATCATATGAATTATATCCTAATCTAAGTGTGATGCTTATACATAACTTTATGTAGTCAAAAGGTATAAATGTAGTAGTACCGTGAGAAAAACGATCAGTATATTATTTCCACTTTTTCTGGAAAAATTTTCATAGAAGTTAGACTATTTTAGGATGGGTTTGAGGGCATTAAAAGATAAATCATTGGGATGATGTCTTGCCTTTAAGCATTCTGTGACCTTTTAGAATAAGGCAACATTCCCTTCTTCTTCTGTTCTTTTTGTTGTATTTTCATGGTCCCCTCAGCTTTCATGATAATATAAGTAGCTTCTCCTCTTCTAAATGTAACTAAGACTAGATGTAAAATTTTGGATTAATAACTATGTTTGCAAGTTACTGAACATATTATATATACCAAGTCCCGTTGGTTTATTTTGTGGGTCTTTAGTACGGCGGGTTTCAGTCTCAGCAGGACTCCAGGAGCCATAAAAGCCAGAGAGAATGACTGACAAGGTGCTGCCGCTGAGAGCTGCTGCTAGGTTTATCTTCCTGACTCGGAGCTCCCTTGAGAAAGGACTAGGTCCCAGTTGTTGGCTGAAGACTTGTGGGAAGGGCACATTGTGTGACTCATTGGGGTTATTGTACTGGTTGCCAAGGAGGGAGAATAATTATCTGCTAAAGTGTTGGGAGGATTAGACATGTGAAAAGTTGAGTAGGGGCTTGAGCCAGTTACAGAGCCCCTTAGATTTTTGGCTTGTGGATGTAGTAATGGGAAAGAGGTTTTTCCACAAAGATACTTCTTTCTAAAAAGGGTGCCCTGTGTTTTTCTCTTCTTTTTAGTTGAGTGAGGAAGTCCTGAGGCATTACCTCTGTGTTGTGCTTAAGAGGCTCACGTACATGAGCACTTTTTGCTGATTCTCCTGGGAGATCCTCAAGTGCGTCTAACTGTGCCCTGTCCTGGAATCTGTTCATAGAGCTGGCAGTCAGGGTTTTAGTGCAGGTAATCAAGAAATGCTCATTTGCAGCCAGAATCAAACCATTTTGCCACAAGCACAGCCAACAAAATAGCACACTGTTGGCAGGAAACAGTCATTGCTCTAATATTTTCTAGGCTGCCAGAAATGAAAAACACGGCAGTAAAATTGCTGTCCCAAGAAAAATTTTAACTTTTAGACTTAAATTCTTTTACAGGGCACCTTTTCAGTGAGAGCCTGCATTAGGTGAGGTTCATGATAGTGAATGTCTCAGATCTACTATTTCATAATTTCCTATCCCTTTTTCTTCTTATGTGGGTTACACTTCTTGTTTCTGTCCCCCGTGTTGTACTCCCCTTGCCCCTTACCCCCTCAGGCATCCTTCATGTAGGTCATTGCCTTCATTAGCATGTGTCCTGATCAGCCCTTCTTTTCCCGTTTTCAACCTCTCCAACAAAACTTTCCCTCCTGAATACCTTCTACTATTGTGTCTTGATAAAGAATTTTAGATATATCAGGAACATTTTTCAAGCCCCAATGTTTATGCTGACAATGAAATCCGATACTAGGCCAATTTGGTACTCTAAGTTATATGACTTCGCCTCATTTTAATGCAACTAGTGATAACACAGAGAAGTTAGATAATAGACATGTAGGATTTCAGTGATTAGAAGGTATTTAATTGTATAGATTTATTAATTTATTTATATTCATTGAGCCATGCAGTTGTTCAATAAGTATTTATTGTGCATATGCCATATGAGAAAAGTGAGGTTTAGTCTCTGCCCTTATGGAACTTCTAGCCTAATGAGAAAGCTGGTAATATTTAAATAGTCACAAAAATAAATAAACAAATTATAACTGTTAATAGTATGAGCATGTATTATAAGGAGAATTGACATAATATGGGAGATGAGAGAAAGCTTCTCTGAGTGAGTGAAACTTGAGAGGAGTTCTGATGGAAGACTAGATGCTGAATGGAGGATAGGCAGTGTGGCAGGCACGGGGGAACAGCATATGCAAAGGCCCTGTGGTATGCGGGCACAGGCATATTCAAGGACCCAAAAGGACTGTGTGGTGAGCATGCAAAGAGCATTGCAGGATTTCCAAATAGTCACTGAAATATTTTAGGTGGAGGGGTGACATGATTGGAGGGCTTCTAACTTTCCACTCCAGCTTGCAGACTAGTTAGCTCTGGGCTGAGCTTATCTCTTTTATAGTCAAGAAGCACCAAAATACAACATTCTGATTTTTCCCCTATCATATTCCTGAATGCTTCAGCCTTGGTTAGCACGTGGCCTAAGGTAGAATAGGGGACAGTGTAATCATATATTTTGCCACCTCAAAACAAAGATACTAGCCCTCCATCCTATTATATCTGTGCCCTTTTTACTTTTACCCAATAGCCTGCACTAAGTCAATGCTATTTATTCTAGCTTTGGTTCCATGTGGCCGCCAACGTCCAGGCATAAAATTCTGTGTCAGTTAAGGTTAGGTTCAACTAGAATAATAGAAAAAGCCCAGATATCAGTGACTTAAACAAGATAGAAACTTAATTCTCTCACTTGTGAGAAAATCTGGGGATTGGCAGTTCAGAGTTGCTGTGGTGGCTCTGGCCACAAAGTCCTCAGGTAGCCAGGCTCCTGTTCACTGTACACTGTCCCTAGGGCATGGAGCTTGTCCCTGTGTACTCCAGCCATCACATCCCTAGGAACTGGATAGAGGGAGAGACAAGGGAGAAAAGAAACAAAGGGCATGTGACAGCTAAAGTTTTTGGACATTACATGACACTTCCATTTGTACTTTTTAGCTAGAATTTAATCATATAGCTGTGCTATCTCCAAGGGAGGCTGAACAAGGAGAGAAGAATCAGTATTAAAAGGCACCTCTCCTACGGTGGCCTAGTCAATCAACACTAGTTAGCTTATATTGTCTCTATGGCAGCTCCTTTCTCATTACAATATTAAAGGGACTTTTCTCCCCCAGCTTTATTGATATGTGATTGACAAATAAAAAATATATTTAATTCGTACAATGTGATGTTTTGATGTAGTATACTTTGTGTAATGATTCTAAGGTTACTTTTCAAATGCGAATCAATGATGTTGTAAGTTACATTGAAGCTAAGATAGCTAGGAATTTAGATTCCAATGCTTCATAGTCAGGGCTTCTGATGTGAACATTACAAAATAGAAAAACATTTCCACTATTGGTTTTTCTCATTTTTCGGCAACTTTTTTTTTTTTTTTTGGCAAGAGCCCTGCCAATATAACCCATCATGTTACAATTTGCTCCAAATCATGTTAGTTAATTTGAGAACGAGGGCCAACACTCGGTTCTTTTAGTACTTGAACTAACTCTCTTCCCACTGTGTCATTATGTGTAGAACTTATTATTTGTTTTTATAGAAACATAGATATTTTCATGTCTACATTTATCTACATTTTTCAAATTGGTAGATAAATCATGGGACAATGTTCTACACAGAATAATGAACATGCCACAGAAAAGGGAGTATTATGCTCAAATTTGAGAAAAATTGATTGCACAAAGAAAATTGGGTGTCCTCACTGCAGGATTTCTCAAGCCCTTTAGGATGCTAATATCCATTGTGAATCTTTATGACAGATTTATATGGCAACTTTATTTGGCCACTAAACACTTTATTTTACCCTATACCATTGTTACATCACCCCAAAAATTTTGTTGTGGAATACAGTTTGGGAAATGTTTAAATATTTAAGGAGCAACTGCTTTACACTAAGGATACTTTGGAACCTGCAATGTATAAAATAGCCCCTTATCCAAATAACACAAAATCTGATTGGAGGAAGAAACCATGAATTTGTGTATCCTTTAACAATAGTTTAATTAATGTCTACTATATGACATTCACTGTTCCAGGCCCTGGAGATAAAAGTGAAAAACACAAATGAGATCCATTTTCTTATACAATTTACCTTTAAATGAATAATATAGCAACTCATGACAATCCTTATGTATGGTCATTACTAGTCACATAAATAGTATTATTTTCAATCTGTGGAACATATATTTCAGGGGCTGTAGAATTATCATACAGTACTTGTGAGTGATTTTATATGTATACCAAACATTGTCTACAGACTGAACAAATAAATCAAAATATAATTGTTGTATTGGAGTCTGTTGTGTTTTAATTTTAA